TTGCGGCAGGACGTGGAGGCGGGAAGGTGTTGTGTGGGTGAGGGAGGTGGTGGAGGGCCAGGATTCGGGGAGATGTCCCCCGTGGTTAGGAGGAAAAGGGTGAGAAAGGTGGCATGGGAGCGGGATGTGCAGGAGCGTGAGAAACTACTAGTGGAGGTGTTCGGGTCAGTGGGAGAGTGGAGTAATAGAAGGAGGTGGTGGGTGCCGTAGAGGGGCGAAGGAAGCAGTGAGGACACAATATACAAATGTTTGGGAGGAGCAGAAGGATCTAGTGAAGAAGGAATCTAGTGTGGATTTTTGGAATGGAGGAGAGGAAAATGAGGAGTGGAAGAGGCATTTTGGGGAGGTGATGAGAGCAATAGTATGGAGATGGTAGCAATAAGGGGGAGATGTACAAGTTTTGGGGTGGAGCAGAGGGGTAAAGAAATGAGATTTGGGAACAGAGGATAGTAATATGATAAGGAGAAGAGGGTGCATATTATATAAAGGTACTCGGAGTGGGACTCAGGTATGTAGGAGATGTTTCCCAGGGTGATTGCTTGCACTCTGTCCATCGTGCAGTAGAGTTTCTTGCTGCTGTTGTGTCTTCCTGCTGCTTAACTTCAACTGCTGTGTTTAACTGCTTTGCACTCCATCAAAAGCAGTGTGCCCCCCATCAGTGATCTCCCCCCATGAGCTGATCTAAATTTATAGGGAGATGCTCAAATGAGCATTCAACTCCACCCCAATTAGAAGCTGATAAGGATCACATGAATAGTAGGGGATGTTTCTCAGGGAACAGGCTACAGTCGTAAACTGGGTGCAGGTAGAGGTGAGGACTGGTCAACATACACACAAATATAAATATACCATTTGTTCTGAATTTAACAGGAGTCAATGCATTTTTCTAGTTAAGAGCGGAGATAGATGCATTTACCCAGAGGAAAGCAGGAGTCAATGCGTTTTTTTCTAGTTAAGAGATAGATGCATTTACCTGTGAAAGTAGAGAAGGCATAATTAGACTGCTGTGTTTAACTGCTTCACACTCCTTCAAAGCAACACACACACACACCTCTCAGTGGGTAGCTTTATTAACCTAATCTAATTAGACTAGTGGATACTTCCATGTATTCCATTTTACTATACCCTCACCCTTCTGTAATCTATGTAACAATGGAAGGCACTGAAGGTGCTATCTGGAGACAAAGGATGGCTCACCCCTAGGGGCGGACTGATCAATTGGGGAACTCGGGCACTGCTTGAGGGCCCGGAGTCAGTAGGGGCCCCCCATGAGATGCCCCTGGTACCTTTTAATAGGCCTTTTTGGGTGTGGTTTGAGGACACAGGGGCCCCATGATCCCCTATTGCCCGGGTGCCCCATGAGTTGTCAGTCTGCCCCTGCTCACCCCTATTATTATTTATATAAACAAATCATGGACCTGGCTGTAGGCATCCTCCCAGCTATTATTTAGCATATTATCTGGATCTAGTTGAACACCCCATGACCTTTATTTCACATACAGTTCATTATATTCCCACATCCCAGAAGCAGATAACTAACCAGATAGATAGGTTGGAGTTAATAAATGTGTGATCTGTCTAAAATATATACAAGATTATTTATTTACATCTGCCAAAGGGGGTTTTAAAATGAATATCATTACCAATACGAAGTAAAAGTTTTCATTTAGAATATGTACACATATAAGTAAAATCAAATCACCTTTTGTACCGATCAGTGAAATAATGTCTTCCATCTGGACAGACTTGTGTGGTAGACATAACATTGAAGCAGAATAGCTAGAGCTCTACAAGTTCCTGACCTCCTATAAATTCTGAGATAATTCCTACATATAGGTGTCCATTTATGACAGAGAAGAGCTGTGATTCAGAGGATCACAGCTACTCTCTGGTCATTAACAGTTTGACACTCATGAGATCAGCGGAGAACATGTTCTCCACTGATCAGCTCAGTGTTTAGAGAATCTGTCATTCAAGTACACAGAAACGGCCAGTTTATGTAGTGCAGATGTCAGCACTTCATTGGCGATCTGTGACAGAATTCTTCCTCCCTGATTCTCCAGCCCAGAGGTGGAGAATCAGGGAGGGAGGACAGAATCTACCTGAGAACTCTCAAAGAAGGAGGACTTTTATTGACTTCCTACTTCCTCTTTGCCACCAAGAGAGTAGTAATTGCAGCTCACCCGTGTCACAAGGCCACAAAGAATTAGATCAGGTTAAAAAAAATCTAATATTATACTTTTGTGTGTATACACATGTAAGGAGAATATATATAATTTTTATTTTTATTTTTTGGGGTTTTAGAGTCTGTCTGGAGCCTGGCTAAGCAAGTCTTTTGCTTGGTCAGGATCCAGGTCATAATAAGCTTTCTGCAACTCACCAGCTAATAATGGGGCCATCAGTCCAGCCAACTGCTCCTTAGGCCACTTTTCCCTTTCAGTAGTGCATTCAAATGTGGTTAAAAACACTTCAGGATCATCCTCTCCAGTGATTTTTGTCAAACAGCCCACACAAAATTATGGTGTACTACTGAAATCACTCTCAGCCTGCTGCCTCTGCTGGAACTGCTTCATGATGGCCTCAATTTTTTGCTGGTGTCTCTGGTCCTGCTGCACCAGCAATTCCCTACGGCGGGCTTCCGTTTGTTCCAAAGCTTGCTGCTGGGCTGCAATGCTCTGCTGGAGACTTGCATTAGTCTGTTGTTGGTTGGCATTTGCCAGAGCCAACTGTCTTATCTCCACAATGCTGGCCTTTATTTACCACAAACTGCCTGCAGTCTTCCACCATGTGTAACAGGGTTTGCTCGGCAACAGGTGTGTGTGACCCCCTGGGTGAGTTCACAACTCAAAACAGGAACAGCAAAACAGCAGTTTTGGTGAAAAAAAACAAAAAGGTGAGGTGAGGTTTATTTACAGAAGAAAAAAACATCCTTGCCAACTTGGCCACTTACTATACAAAAAGCTTCCCTCACTATCACCTAGGTGCAGCCTTGTGCTACACCCAGTCCCCATCAACCTGTTAATTTAAGGCTTGTCTCACCGCACAGCCAGGTATGCTGCTCCGCAGTCTACTCAGGCACAAAACTGGTTCCTGGATGGAGAAACTCTCTATGCAGGCTGGGAAGTTTTATAGGAGGCCCTAATGAGTCCACTGCCTTCAGCTGGGCTCATTACCTCACTGCTGAAGGCTCAGCACTTCCCTCTAGTGGAACAAATCCACATAGAGCCTGATGCAGGCCATAGATGGAGAGAAAACTGGCTGATTTTTCTTTAAAAAAAACCAAAAAATCAGTCGTTCAAGTGGCCGACATTACCAGGAATGGTAAAAGAAAAAAAAAAAAATTGGCCGATTTTCATCACGTCTACAGCCGGCAAAAAGTGTCCCTGCAGAGAGCTCCGCTATTTCTTTGACAGTGCTTTGACATTTATATTGGTTGCAACAATGTATCTGATTTTGAATGTTTGCCCACTCACAAAGAAATGATCAGTCTGAAAATCAGTCTACAAAACCAGTCTCCGGACCTTAATCCGATTGAAAACCTGTGGAGGGAGCTGAAAGTTGGAGTTGCCAACGTCAGCCACCAAACCTTAATGACTTGGAGAGGATCTGCCAAGAGGAGTGGGCCAAAATCCCTCCTGAGATGTGTGCGAACCTGGGGGCCAACTCCAGGAAACGTCTGACCTCTGTGATTGCCAACAAGGGATTTGCCACCAAGTACTAAGTCATGTTTTGTGAAGGGGATCAAATCCTTCTTTCCCTCATGAACATGCAGATCAGTCATCATTTGTTAGACGCATTTCTGCTGAATTTGTTGTTGTATTCTGTCTCTCAGTGTTACAATACACCGAACATTCCATTGTTAGACCGATCATTTCTGTGTGAGGGGCGAACATTCAACATCAGCAGGGGAGCAAATACGCATTTCCTTCACTGGACATACCCGTTCAGTTATTGAAGGGACATTTGGAATGTGGAAATCGATGCATATCGAAAACTGATGGCTTTTTACAGCACTCTCCTGCACTTGCACATCAATGATGATCTTCCACCTGAAATACCGTCACTACCCGCTGCCTCTGAAGATTCCTCAGACCTAGGGAATCATCTCCGTCAGAGACTGACTCAGAACTACTTCAGGGTAATTATGTATTCATTTACATGTAAATCAGGGGCGGACTGACAACTCATGGGGCCCCCTGGCAATAGGGGATCATGGGGCCCCTGTGTCCTTGCCCAAACTCAAAAAAGCCTATGAAAAAGGTACCAGGGGCATCTCATGGGGCCCCCTACTGACCCCAGGCCCTCGGGCAGTGCCAGAGTTTCCAAATGGTCAGTCCGCCCCTGATGTAAATGTTGTAACATACTATGTGTTTTAAGTATCATTTAATTTGATGTTTTTTAGAATCTACAAAGAAGGATGACTAATTAGCTTGATGTTTGGGATCCTATCCTGTTCAACTGCACTCCTGTGATTGCATATATAAGTCAAATGTGTACTGTGACTTTTGTATTTCATTTTTTTAATTGTGGATGGAGCAGGGCTTAGTCACTCTCTGTGCGTCAATTGACTTACAGACCTGGCTTGGGAGCAAGTACACAGCAGTGCCTACCATAGCAAGTGGGTTGCTATGGTGGCACTCGGTGGGGGGAGGTGCGAGGAGTGCAAGCGTGGTACCCCACAAAAGGAGGATCCGTGCCGCTGTGTGATGACTCGTTGCATAGAGAAGGTAAGTATATGTTTATTATGCCAAAGAAAACATTTTTCCCTGTAGTATAACCTCTATGGAGAAGTAAGGGCAAACAGCTTTTCTCAATACTTCTATTGTGGTTTAGAGGATCCTATGAATAAGTCGGAATGACAAAACATGTCAGGAGGTGATGTCAGACGATGTAGCTGGAAGTTCTGAATCGGCCATTTTGGAAGTGGTTTACCCATCTGGGAGATAGTGAACTTTATACTTTTGCTGTAGGTTGTCATTAGCTGCGCTAACTCTGCAATTTTAACCACTTCCCATCTGACCCTTGTACATAAACGGCCGCACCAGAGCGGTGCAGGAGCGGGTGGCTGTTCATAAACGGAGTCCACATTTACAGGCTGTGCGCACTCCCTGGGAGTGTGCAACACCATGAACTGGTGCCCACTGTGAACCCCAATAGCTGTACGGGACCTCTGGCCAATCAGTGATCACATGAATAGTAGTAAGCAAGATGTCACTTCTGACATCATTGCTTACTTCTCATGAAATCTGTGAATGATCACAGAGGTCACATGGTACAAGGCTATTCACAACAGCCTTGTACCATGTGCCAAGCTCACACAGCTCACAGCTCACACAGTATTTCTCAATGGCTGCAAGAATGCAGCCAGAGAGAAGGATAAATTATTGCTTTTACAGCCTTTATGGGTATAAAAGCAATCAGTGTAAACAAAAAAAAAAATCTTCATCACTCCCCACAAGTAGTACAGTGTCACCATGGGGACACTCTACTGCTAGGGTGACGGTATGTTAAAAAAACCAAACAGAAAACAAATATAAAAAAAAATACAAATATAAAAAAAAAAAATTTAAAATTATAATTTTCTTTTTTACTAAAAAGATAGCTGAATAAATTTTGGCCAAGATTTATGAAGAAAAATGTTTTATTTGCTATTTTTTTATTTATTTATATAGCAAAAAAAAAAAATCCCAGTGGTAAATAAATACCACTAAAATTAAGTTTTCTGTCTCAAAAAAAAAAAAAAATGGTAAAAAATTCATACGAGTACAGTGTTGCATGACCGTGCAATTGTCATTCAAAGTGTGATAGCGCTGAAAGCTAAAAATTGGCCTGGACAGGAAGGGGAGGGAAGTGTCTGGACCGGAAGGGGGGGGAAAGTGTCCGGACCGGAAGGGGGGGGGGGGGGAAGTGTCTGGACCGGAAGGGGGGGGGAAGTGTCTGGACCGGAAGGGGGGGGGGGGAAGTGTCCGGACCGGAAGGGGGGGAAAGTGTCCGGACCGGTAGGGGGGGGGGAAGTGTCCGGACCGGAAGGGGGGGAGTGTCCGGACCGGAAGGGGGGGGGGAAAGTGTCCGGACCGGAAGGGGGGGGGGGGGAAGTGTCTGGACCGGAAGGGGGGGGGGGGGGGAAGTGTCCGGACCGGAAGGGGGGGGAAAGTGTCCGGACCGGTATGGGGGGGGGGGGAAGTGTCCGGACCGGAAGGGGGGGAGTGTCCGGACCGGAAGGGGGGGGGGGAAGTGTCCGGACCGGAAGGGGGGGGGGGAAGTGTCCGGACCGGAAGGGGGGGAAGTGTCCGGACCGGAAGGGGGGGGGGGAAGTGTCTGGACCGGAAGTGGTTAAATGTAAGCAGTTCTATTAAAGTAAGTCAAAACAGGGTAAGTGAGCGCAACTTAATAAAAAGCGGCCAGCATAAAAGGTAATCCTCAGCATCTCAGTAACAAGAAATAATAGAAGGGTATGCAGCGCTAAAAAAAAATACTGTAATATGATAAACCAAATTGCATATAATCGATCATACAATGGCCAATCTGGCATGCTCACAGTGGGAAAAATATATATTCCATAGAGTGACATTAGTGACGAGTTTTTTGAAACCGTGCGAGGTGCACAACACATGTCAGGGGGTCCATCAAACTGACGCCATAAGCCACCAGTGAGCCTAGGAGGAAGGCCTGGAGGCTATATACATTTTACGTGAGTTGACCACGTGTTTGTATTGGATGTTACCTTCAATAAAGGCATACTTCACTATTAATACCCTTTTGCCCCCTGGCTCGTTGATTGCGAGCCTTACAAGGTGGAGCTTTTCTGGAGAGTACCATTAGGAGTCTGGACTTCGTTGGACCTGCCAGTGAACCTGAGGTGCCCCCCAAGTGCGAGTTTCATCATTCCTGAGTGTCCACCATGGTGCCGGATGCTGCCTAAACCGCTGGCCAGACCCTGATGTTGCCACAGATATACGTACAACGCTCAGATTGTATTTTTTTTTGGTAAGCGCATAATTGCACTAGATTTTTTCAACAGCAAGTTGGATACATTGAACACCGAGCACCATTTCCTTCAGTGTATTGACTTGTCACTAATGTCACTCTATGGAATATATATTTTTACCACTATGTCAGCATGCCAGATTGGCCATTGTATGATTGATTATATGCAATTTGGTTTATCATATTACAGTATTTTAGCGTTGCATACCCTTCTATTAGTTCTATTAAAGTGCCTTTAAGTTCTATGGAGGTCTTGTACTATTGATATATTTTTCTCTTTGTGGTACCATCATTGTTGTGTGGAGCATATGAAGCCAGGATCCGGGATAGTTGGTGGTCTATTCTAAGCCCTGTTTACCTGTCCTCTGGGTTATGGAGGACAGGTTTTGGATCACAGAAGACACCTTTTTCACTATTATTTGAGTGTATGGGTTCACATCATCCATTTTGTTTGCAGTTGCATGGAGGTTTTGCAGCATGTTTTGTACTGGGTCTCTTTTGTCAATTAGGTAAGGTGGATGGATTGACAGGAGATCTTGTGTTTGGGTTTTTGTTGTGTTTGTGCATTCACTGTCACTTTTTCTTGCTGTGATAGATCCTCACATTTGCAGTCACTTAGCTTTGGTAGCACAACGTGTTTTGATGTATTGATTCCCCACACGGGTACACCGAGGTGTTTTGGAGGCATATGACGAAGTTAAAATGCACCATGTTTATTTCTTTATTTTTAGGCAATATGGGGACAAGGAAGGACTGTGTAGGACTACACATATCATTGGACAGTTCACTACATAAAAAAAATATTTTTTGGACACCAGACGATTTTTAGTGACCTTTTGGATTTATTTCAAAGATTAATTTTCAGATCACAATCTGAATTTTGCACACATTTTTTTTTTTTTATTAATATTTATGTGGCTCATGTTTGGTTTAGAGGCGTGCACTGCAGCGTAGGAGGGTCACTGAGCTGTTCCACACTCTTCAGGTATCCGGACTTCTTTTTTTTTTTTTTCTGGATCCATTACGACTCATAAGCAGCAGCTCTCTCAATATGCCACTATGAGGCTGAACCAGCCACTGAAGACCACTCCACAGCCCGGAGCTCCAGTGAGAGCTGAGATAAGAGCACAGAGCTGGCCACTAACAGCCACCACTCTCTACCCACAGAAGAGAACTGGAAGATCAACAGTCTTCGATCATGCAATTCTCAATCCTTGAAGCGGCATGGGACAAATGGAGAATCATATTGAGGTTACATCGACCACGAGGTGTTTTTTTTTGGTTGGTTTTTTTTTTAATTTTGAACTTCTGTTGCACTGTTCTACTATGATGAATTAAAAATAACAAAATTGCATAATAGCCTTTTAGGTTACTGAACAATCCATCATTGAAAAGAAGAATAACCGATTTTTAGTCATTACACACTTCTTGGTCACCTCATACTTTTAATACTTCTTTTTGCGGTGTGATCTGGAATCAGCTGAAACAGGGGTGTCCAAACTATGGTCCTCCAGGTGTTGAGGAACTGAAAGTCCCATGAGGCCTTCAAGACTCTGACATCCACAGGAAAAACTCCCAGAGGCAAAGGCATGATGGGACTTGTAGTATTTCAATAGCTAGGATGGTCATAGTTTGGACACCCCCTGAGCTGAAAGCAAGCCAACAACTGCCATCAGGTGATGATACAGACCCCCTCTAGCCTTTTTACATACCACATCTGCGTCTATCCAGAGGCTTAATCAGCTTTTGTTGGACAGCTTCAATATATAAGTGATGATTCAACATGCAGGTGAGTATGAATATCTTAAAAAAAAAAATTCTTGCTGGACGCTATCATGGTATGTTATTTTTACAGATACAAGCAGCGGAGGAAGATGGGAAAATGAGAACCTGGCACATCAGCCACACCAAGAAGGATGACCCTTTACTGCCTTACTACCTACTGGGCTTTGAAACTTGCACTTTGGATCTGGAGCATGGACCAAAAAAAAAAAAAAAAAAAAAAAAGCTGTTTGACACCAAGGAACCCTACCAGAGCTAAAGATGGGGCCAAATTTAAAACACATATTATTGGACAATTTCAGTACCTCCCTGCTATGCCATTTTTAGAACCTGTCACCCTTTAATGACAATTAATCAATCAAGCTGTATTTAAATTGCTAGCATTTTGGTGAGGCATATTGAACTCTTTTGTTTGTAGTTAAACCAGATAAAATAAAAAAAAAAAAAAGTCAAAACATTTTGAAAAAAAAAAAATCTTATTTTCGGTTAGAAAAATTAGTAAAATATATTACATTTATATACCACTGTATGCAAAAATGTATTCAGTTAAATTTCTGTAGTAAAAAATTATACCTTAACCACTTGCCCCTGCACTGCTCCCGTCCGGCTGTTTATGTACATGGGCCGGACGGGAGCAGTGCAGGGGCAGGTTGCCATTCATAAACGGCGCCCGCATTTCCAGCCTGTGCACGCTACCTGGGAACACAGATCACTGTACAGAACCGCTGTGGTAAGGTCTTGATCATGTGAGGTCTTGGTCATGATTGGCCAATCAGTGATCACATGAATAGTAGTAAGCAAGATGTCACTTCCTGACATCATTGCTTACTACATGTGAAATCTGTGAATGATCACGGAGGTCACATGGTACAAGGCTATTCACAACACCCTTGTACCATGTGACAGGTTGTGACCAATCACAGTATTTCTCAATGGCTGCAAGAATGCAGAGAGGAAAATGATTGCTTTTACAGCCTTTCTGGATGTAAACACAATCAGTGTAACAATCTTCATCACCCCCCCCACAAGTAATACAGTGTCACAGTCTTAAAAAAAAATAAAATTTTTTACATTTTTTTTTAACAAACTAATTTAATAATTTTTTTTTACTAAAAAAATAGCTGAATACATTTTGGCCAAGATTTATGAAGAAAGACTATTTATTTGCAACATTTTATAATAAAAAACACTCAACATTTTTGGACATTTTTTTTTATTTATATAGCAAACAAAATAAAAATCCCAGTGGTGAATAAATACCACCAAAATAAAGTTTTATCTGTCTCAAAAAAAATGCTAAAAAATTTCATATGGGTACAGTGTTGCATGACCGCGCAATTGTCATTCAAAGTGTGACAGCGCTGAAAGCTGAAAATTGGCCTGGGACAGGAAGGGGGTGAAAGTGTACAGATTTGAAGTGGTGAAAATAGTGTCTCTGTAAGAGTTAGAGTATTTAAAACAATATATATATATATATATATAAGTTATCAGTGGTGTACTGACAGCCTATTACATTGCTATAGCCCCAAAAAAGCAAGGATGATATAAATTGACAGTCTAAGGCATTATGTCACAATGAATAGGCATAGTTTATAAATTAACCCCCCTCAAAAAAGAAAAAAAAAAGCAATGCCTACCAGTCATGATTGTGGCACATGTGTGAGACTAAATGCATGGAGAGGCCCACAATCAAGGGAGTACCTTTGTGCTTCAAATGAGCATACATTGTCCACAAATAATGCACTTCATGACTACCTGTTACACGTATTGAGGCTATGGCACACCACGCAGGTGTAAATAATCATACAAAGGGGCAAGCATCCCAAGGTGTTTTGTAAGAGGCTCGGTGATTTTTTTTCAGATATCAATGCTTGGCCACAAATACTTTGAAAATGCCAATTTAACCACTTTGGCCTTTTATAAACAAAAAAAGGCCAAAACTTTTGAAGAAAAAACAAAAATTTTGTACTTTCAGCTATAAAAAATATATAGTAAACTCAAAGTTGGTGATAAATTTAGGCCAAAATGTATTCTGCTCCATGTTTTTGGTAAAATAAATCCCAATAAGTGTATATTGATTGCTTTGTGTGAAGTTATAGCGTCTACAAAACTATGGTATAGATACTGCAATTTGCCATTTTTTTGCTATACAGCGCTGCGCTAGTTTAACGGACAATTGCGCGGTCATGCAATACGGTACATAAATGAAATTTACATCCTTTTTTTTCCCCACAAATTGAGCTTTCTTTCGGTGGTATTTGTTCGCCTGTGCGGTTTTTATTTTTTGCGCTATAAAAAAAAAAAGACTGACAATTTTGGGGAAAAAAAAACAATATTTTGGACTTTTTGTGATAAAACGTCCAGTAAAAAAAAAATTTAAAAATCAAATTTAGTCATAAATTTCTGCCAAAATGCATTCTGCGACATGTCTTTGCTAAAAAAAAAAAACCCAATACGTGTAAATTAATTGGTTTGTGAAAGTTATAGCGTTTATAAATGGCCCGAAAGATACTCAGATTTTTAGGTTTTTTTTATACGAATAATGGCGGCGATCAGGGACTTATGGCGGCGATCAGCGACTTATGGCGGGACTGCAGCGGACATTCTGACATTGGGGGGTACTGACTTGGGGTCACTGACATCCCCAGTGACACCAATACAGTGATCAGTGCAAAAAAAAAACAAAAAAACTAACACTGTACTAATGGCACTGGGGAGGAAGGGGTTAAGTTTATTATTCAGGGAAAGGGTTAACTGTGTGAGGGGAGTGTTTTACTAGGGGGCGGGGGTGTGTACTGCAGGGAACCGCTGCTCGGGAGAGAGAAACTCTTCTGTCCCAATCAGCTTGTCCTGGAGCTGTCAGGGAACTGACAGAAAGCACAGCTACTGCAGCTGTGCTCTCTGTCAGCAATTGCCGCCGATCGCCCGGACACAGCCGGTAACGACCGGCTGTGACCCGGCGGGACAGCTAGGGCGGCCGCGCGCCTCGCGCGTGCCCCCTACCTGTTTTCAAAACACACGTTTTAAAATGTGCTTTTGCCGTGCCACCCTGCCACCGTATTTCTACAGTGGCTGGGCGGCATGTGGTTAACCTCCCTAGCGGTCTGATTATGTCCATATTTCTGTGTTCAAAGCGGTACATTTTTTTCCATGGAAATATGTATTTTTTTTATTGTAGGCCTGTCATTTTTAGGAATAACTCACTGAACAGATCCCAGAGCAGAGCCGCATGGTAAGCCCGAGTGTAGCTCGGGGTTACCGCTTGTGGTACTGAAACTTTACCCCAAGCTACACTCGGGAATACTGCTAGGGAGGTTAAATTTTTTTTTTTAGCTGTCATTGTCAGCACCCTTGGTAGTGAGCCCTTGTAGATACTCAACTTGGGGTTCCCTGGCATGGAGTCTAAGCCCCAGCCTGCTTCTACACCAGAGCCCCTGATGGTGGGGATGGACTTGCAGCAAGCTGGGACCAGGTCGCGGCCCCCAGGTACGCACAGCTGAGGATGATGAGACCGCGCTTGCAGGAGCAGGGTACAGTGGGAGGAGACAACTGGAAATCCAATAGGATGGGCGGAAAACAAGCACAATCAGAGAACAAAGCGGGGGGAGGTACACAAGTAGCCAATGCATGATACAATCATTAGCACCACACAGGCGCTACCAACAACTAGGCAGTTGCTCAGGCAAAGTGGCCTAGACTGAGCATGTCTTATATAGACAAGGAGGCGGGCCAGGAAGTGATGGAAGGGAAGGAAATAAAACCCAGAAAACAGCAGATGACACCCATAGTTGAGCACAGACAAACACACATGTGAAAGGGATCAGGAACAGCAATGCAGCATGGAGGTAAGAATACACAAACAAGAAACTGCAGGCTAACTTGTGACAGTCATGCACATTTACAATTACAACTCAAAAGACTCACAAGAATGGGATCACAACATGTAAAAGACTGATTGGGATCATTCTATATTTAAATGGCTTATGTCTGTTTAAAATTTCCACTCGTTGTAATGAGGTCTCTTACTCCCTCTGTGACCTCATCAGCCCCTTATAAATTAAAAAGATGAAAAACGCCCCATGAGGTGCTTCCATCCCTCATATAAAATCACGTTTTCTTGCATTGCTGTAACATGCAGTTTCTCATAAAGATTGGAGTTGGAAAACTTCAATTTCAGTTCTCATCATGGTTTCTGAAGCTGCTTTCTACTTTTGTCAGCCCGTGGTAGTATTACAAATCAGCCAAGTGTCACATACATTTCACCCAAGCCTGGATACTAATGGAGATTTAGGGATTTATCTTCCATATAGAAATGTTGGCAATTTTAATTTAAAAAAAAAAAAAAAGGAAGCATTATGTTCAAAATACTTTAATGTGGTAATAAGACACGAGTCTTAAATAATACAAACAACACACAAAAACATATATAAACCTAAACAAAGCAACGTCACAACTGAATTTAACCCCTCGCCTACCGGGCACTGCTACCCCCTTCCTGCCTACAGGACACTTCTACCCCTTTCCTGCCTACCGGGCGCTTCTACCCCCTTCCTGCCTACAGGGCGCTTCTACCCCCTTCCTGCCTACAGGACACTTCTACCCCCTTCCTGCCTACCGGGCACTGCTACCCCCTTCCTGCCTACAGGACACTTCTACCCCTTTCCTGCCTACCTGGCGCTTCTACCCCCTTCCTGCCTACAGGGCGCTTCTACCCCCTTCCTGCCTACAGGGCGCTTCTACCCCCTTCCTGCCTACAGGACACTTCTACCCCCTTCCTCCCTACCGGACACTTCTACCCCCTTCCTGCCTACAGACACTTCTACCCCCTTCCTGCCTACAGGACACTTCTACCCCTTTCCTGCCTACAGGACACTTCTACCCCTTTCCTGCCTACCGGGCACTTCTACCCCTTTCCTGCCTACCGGATACTTATACCCCCTTCCTGCCTACCGGATACTTATACCCCCTTCCTGCCTACCGGGCACTTCTACCCCCTACCTGCCCAGGCCAATTTTCAGCTTTCAGTCCTGTAGCAATTTGAATGACAATTGCTCGGTTGTGCAACACTGTACCCATGTGACATTTTTATCTTTTTTTGAGACAGATAGAGATTTCTTTTGGTGGTATTTAATCACCTCTGGGTTTTTTAGTTTTTGCTAAACAAACCAAAAACAAACCAAAACAACTGAGAGTTTTCTTAGTTTCTGTTATAAAATTTTGTAAAGTGATTTTCTTCTTCACTGATGTGCGCTAATGAGGCTGCAGTTTTGGGCACTGAAAGGCAGCACTCATATGGCACTGATAGGCACTGTCAGGCAGCTGAGATGGAAACTGATGTGGCATTGATGGGCACTGGCAGGTGGCATTGATGGGAGTGCCCTGGTGATCAGTGTAGATGTCCCCGCTGAATAATGCGGATTACCAACTCTCCTCAAGAACTGTCAGCATGACAGCTCATGAGGCGAGAAATGCCGATAGCCAGCAATTCCTTATTTACATGTGATCAGCTGTGATTGGACACATCCGACGATTTTGGCTCTTTCCATTGATCGATGAACTGCTGTGTCCCAGGGGGCGTGCACGCGTGGTTAGAGTGGGAAGATGTCATATAACATCCTGACAGAACGAGAAAACTGCCTTGCGCCCATCATTTCCTTATATGGGCGGTGGGAGGCGGTTAAATTATTATTATTTTTTTTTTTTTAGTATTCTTATGGGTCCATGGGCCCCAGCTGTTGGCTCAGTGGTGTAACAGACCCAACCAGGTAAAGAGCAGTTGACATTTTTTCTGCTCCTCTTTTTCCAATGTGACTTGCTGTGATTCAACAAGAGCATTGTGGCGTCTTATTTCAGTCAGAAGATCTTGTCTATATATTTGTTGCTCCTGTACTGAACGGTCAATCTGAGTCTGCCTAAGTTTCTA